TAAAAAAAAAAAAAAAAAGAGAAATTATTATATATTCATCGGTATAAAAGTTAGTTTTATCAGGGATTAAATTTATGGAGCTTATCAATAAATAATATATAAAAAAATAGATCACAACAATATTCTTGCAATATAAACATCAATATAAATAAGTGATACCATAAAGTGTTAAAAGAAATCACCATAAAATTAAATGTGGACCACTATTAGCATAAAAGTTTTACACAATCAAGAATGAGAAAAGTGATATATCACTATATGTACTGAGGGTTTCTTTTCCCAGCAAAATTCATTGACTAGTTTTAAATGTCAGATATCATAAACATTTATTGAAAATATATACATTGTTAATGAAATAAAAATATATTTAGAATAATTAAATGAAATACAAAAAGTAGGGATTAATAAATAATTTTTTTTATTACTAGATAGAAAAATTAACTTCAAAGCACTTTAGAGCTGAAATGCTATCAAAGAATTTAAAACTATGCATGTGTGGTGACCAAGTATTTGAAAGGATTTTCATAAGTTAATTAAGTATCAAATAATGGGAGAAAAACAATTTTAATTTGCAGGGTTAAGGGACCAATATAAACTATGAGGTGTGATGTGATGATATATCACAAACTTTATAATGAAAAATATGACATAATATTAATCTATTTCATATATTATAATTAATTTATCATTTTAGATTTGACTAATTGGTCAAATAACAACTTTTCAACTTAGGACATTAATAATAATAATAATAATAATAATAATAATAATAATAATAATAATAATAATAATAAATCGAAAATGATGAATCAATAATGCATTAAAGTTCAGTATATATAGTAGTATTTGCATTTTTCAAAAGCAACTGTTATAACATCTAATGTGACATTTAGTTACGGTTCATCTTAACAAAGTTTTTCTCCCATATTCTTAATATGGATCGAAGTTAGTAAGAGTGTAAAAAAACGAGTAAATACTATCCAAAGTCTTTAGTTTAAGAATTAAAAATAATTTTTAAAAAGTGTTATATTAATGCACTTTTATTATGATTTCCAATGCATTCATGATTTTTAATAAAAAAATTATTATTTCCACTCCTTATAAGTGTCATTTAAATATTTAATATCCAAATTAAGAAATATGATATTTTTTTCATTAACTAATAATTAATAAAAAAAAATGTTGTTTGAACTTTTAAAACGACAAAGAAAATTAGAAATAAACTCTTCTAAAAATTGACAAATAAGAGAGAGAGAGAGAGTGTGTTCATTAATCCCTTGACTAAATGGCATAGTCGGCAAGACTCGAGGAAAAAATATCTAATTTTTTTTTTTATACTGTAGTAAAAAGTGAGACTAATTATAGTAAAATCTCATCCGCATAATTATTTCTTGTAACTGTTATCATCTTTTAGAGTTATTAGCTTTTGGAAGGCACAGGGAATACCATCACTAAGGAAATAATCATGCTTCTATTGCATGCTAATTTGAGATTACAGAAGTTGCATGTGAAGAAATTTTATGGTCTTAAAGTTTTACTTTTAAACCAACAAATTATGACGAAATGTTCTTTAATTTACTACACTCAGATAAATTTTATGTCAACATTACTCAATATTTTTAATTATATTATAACTGACGATTCATTAAGTGATGACAATATTAAATAATAATGTAAGTATAGCAACGTATCAAAATTAAATGCATGGAATTCATAGAAACTCAACCAATACATTGTGTGTTGCTATGATATATTAATGACATTCCAAACTTGTTGCATATTTATTAGATGGGAGTGAATGCAACCAGCCATCCAACTATACTCAGTAAAATTCAAATCCAGGACCATTAATTTAGTATTAATTTAAAGTTTTTTATGCCTACTGTTTTTCTAATGTAATTCATGATCCTTCAGTGCTTTACTTAAACATATATGACATTTATACTTGTTATTTTATTGCAATATTTAGAAATAAATACCTATCACTGTTTCAGGGAGAAACATCTAAAAATTACTTTCTAACATTAGAGAGGTTAATTAATAGACGACAAATGCACTTGAAAGCATGCTATTGTTAGGTACCTATAAAAAGATGTTGAACTAATCAACCAGGCACTGAAAATAATTATTATCTACATTCAGTTATTTTATGATAAATTATATCCATCTGTTGATAATTTCTTCAGAGTATATTGCAGTTAAATTGAATACTATATGTTGAAAGATAATGCAATTTATATGATTACTGCAAGTATTATCTAATTAATTTCTTGACTTAATATCAGAGCTTGAATATGTATGGTCCTATTGTGGCCTATACACATTAGAAAAAATGTACCTCGGATAAATATTTATAATATCTCATTGAAATGGCAGCTGTCAAGTCTTTAAATTATAAGGTCTGATTTGGTGGAGCTTCTATTTCCTTCTGCATAACACGCCAATAATTTGCAAACATTAATAAATCATACGTAAAGTGGATGGAACTGTTAACATTAGTATCAATATACCACCGTATAACTGACAAACATTGCCTTTAATTAACACACTATCATGGAATTATGCAATTCCAAAAACAATGATAACCTTCACGTTGCTAACAAACAATATACATACTAAGTCATCATATGAATATAAAGTCTGATTTATAATTAAATTAACATGAAGCCTAATACTAGCTAGGGAATAATTAATCCCACGAATTTATATATGGTTAACTTTAATCAACTAAAGAACTCTAGGGATGTTCTTAACTCATGATTAATGCCAGGTATATATGTATATTTCATGCATGCATATATATGTATGAAGAATAAAATCAATCTGTTTGTGCCTTTCCTCTTGAATATCATTTGATTTCCTGAACTAACTTTATGTGTGCAAGATCATGACTACTAATTAACATAAACTAGCAAGGATGATATATAGGAGAGAACATATATATAATAGAATACAATAAACATTAAAGAGAACAAAACAAAGAAAGATTTTGAATCTTATTATTTTATTTTATTTTTGTGCCTTGTTTGATCTTAACTATATATTAATTTTTTCCTGGCTTCTTGTTGGGTTCCAAGCACTTGATCATCCCCCCCATAAAAAGGTTCTATTTCTAGTCTCTTTCATTCTTTAATTTCCAGCAGTCTTGAGGATTCTTCCAAGACTTTCGAGAGCTCATGGAAATTGACTTTACTACCCAAGGATCTGAGATACTCCTATTATTTTAACAGAAAAGCATCACATTCAAGTCTGTGTAGCCAAAACAAAAGTCCTGCTCCCATGTATGTCTTGTCTTGCTTACTGTTGATCTTACTGTCCCATATGTTGCTTTTGCTTTCCCCATTTTACACCGTGAGAACATAACATTCTGTTTGATATCTCCTTTTTATGCCATCAACGGTGTATTTTTGCATTAAATGCCAATATAATATCTTCCAACATGGTGATTGCTATGACTCTATTACACCAAATAAACACGAACAAAATATATGAATACTAAAATGTGAAAGGTCCATGTGAACAAACCTAAAACAAAGTGCATCGATGTGCCCCATCAGAGATACACAATTAACACTCTCTGTACCCAGTTCATATTAATTCACACCATAGTTTCAAAAGGTATTATTTCCCCCCTTTAATTAGATAGATCAATCAAATCAATAAGTGTACGTTCTAAACATCTCGGATGAATCAAAACGACAATTTTTGTGAAAGGAAAAGTTTCACTTTCTTTTCTTATCATAGCATATGTTTTATATCCACCATATAATGTCAAGTTTCACACACAAACTCAAAAGAAAATAGAAAAAAACTGTAAGCTGATAATTGATCACCTCGATCACCAAACTAAAGCTCCTTGATTCAGTGTCGTCCAAAAGTCTTTGCTGTAATTATTGCAATATCTGTGACAAATCCAAAAAATGTATGTAGGTAAATAACCAATGAGTTTCATTTTCAACTATCAACAGTATAAGACTGTGACAAAGACTAATTAGGCATCGCAGGAGGAATCTAAATCCATAAAGTAAATGACTGATGTCTATAGACTACATAAGTTGTATCTCATAAATTAAGGTAAGAATCAGATATCAGACAAAAATAAATAGATAAGCATCAGAATCAGGCTACTTACTCTTTAAGGTAAGAGTAAATGGGGGACACGGCCTCAATTTTTGATTTACCAAATATCACCTTTGTATGCAGTGCTAATCCAGACAAGAAGGCGGCTGATGAATAGGAGAAATCACAAGACCATGTCACCAAAAATAAAAAATGTAAGTAGGAAAGTGGAGGGAGATAGAGGAAGAGGGGTAGTAGTAGTAGTAAATAAATAAATAATTTATGGTAACAATGTTATAGGTGGCATAGTAAGTGGAAAAAGTAACGTAAATGGATGGAGGAGGAATAAGAAGAGGAAAATAATTACCCTTTTACAGCTGTACAACTTTCTGCGCTTTATCTGCAAAGCTAAAATGCCTAACTAAGCAGCAGCAGCTAGCAGAAGCAGCAGTGTTGTGAACGACATCAGCCCAACAAGGCTAACAGAAACATTAGAGGAAAGAAGAAAGCAACAAGCTTTTCTGTGTATCATTAAATGCAGTAAACGGAAAGAGAGAGAGGGAGCACAGCATTGAACTAATATTAAAATAGAAAGAACAAAAGACATATATACTATATATAATATAATATATAATAATAAATAATATATATATATATATATATATATATTAGTATTGTATTATACACAATTGAAAAAAGGTCTAAATGTAATTGATCTCCATGGATTTCATTTCCCTCTTTAGGTTGTGAAAGGATGGATGTTCCATTTCTTCAGGGCCCAAATCCCCAGCTAATTAATTCATTGAGCAGTTCTAAACGAACTAAAAACGCCAAAACGTGCAAAAGCTAAACACTAATTACTGATCAAAAGAAGAAGAAAGCCTGGGAGCCTTTTCTTTCCTTTGTAGCTGATGAAATAAAATAAAATAAAAAAGATGAAAGAAAAAATGTAAAATATAATAAAAATGCCACAAAAGAGAGTGTTGGTAGCCCAGGTAAACTTTAGATCAAACTGGTATCTTCTTCATTATTTGTGTTCTTCATCAATTTGTTTATCACTGCCGGTACTGCAAAGAAGGGTCCAGATCAAAAAGCATTGAAGGTTCCCCTCTCTGATCCCCAAACCTTGCTGATGATGATGATGATGAGAGAGTGTCTTCCCTCAAAAGCTGAAGAGGTGGCAGTGAAGGAGAATGTGCCACCGAAGATGATGAGGACAACAGGCTGAAGCATTTGGGATCTTCTGATGTTGAAGAAGCACATTCCATGTTCACCCCAAATAGTCTTAGCCTTTTGCCTGCAGTGCTAGGACTAGTACTAGCACTAGAACCACTCTTGGCGCCATGGTAGGGATGGTGATGATGGTTATGAGCAACCGGAACAGAATCAATGATCATAGGGGAAAGAGAAGCATTGCCTCCCTCTTGTTGTTGCCTTGTGCCCAAGGTTTGGTGATCAGAAATAGGCATTGATGGGGGTGTTGACCTGAGGTAAAAGACTGAGCCAGATCCTGAAGTCATGTCATTATGGTAGTTGTAGTGATGAGTTGATCCATTGTTTGCACTTGCAGAAGCAGCAAAGGGGTGATGATACATGGTGGTGTTATAATTGAGGTGTTGTTGCAAATGGTCATGGTGGTGGTGGCGTGGTGGGGTTGGGGAAGGGAGGGAGTAGAATCTGCCATGGGCAGTGGCACCCCATCTGATGGACATTAAGTGAGGCTGATTGGGAAGAAAGAAAGGTGTGAAGAGTGTGGTTGAAGGGTCAGGGCCATGATGGTGATGGTGATGATTAGACCTTCTCCTCCAATCTATGTACAACCTATGCCTATACAATTCCCCAACACCACGCTGGAAGGACACAATGTCACCAGCATCAAGCTTCTTCTCCTTCACAAAACGGCTCCACCCTTTGGTCATCACATAGCTCTGGCTACTGTTCCAATAGGAGTACCTGAACCTCCATAACTTGCCATTCCTGTCCTCAAAATTCAGCAGCAGCCCCTTCTCATTGGTGGAGGAATCAAGAGGGAAATACTTCTCAGCATGCTGCTTTGGTATCACCAAACGGTTCAGCTTCCCCACATCACTAGGTGTCACAACTTTATCAAACATGTGCTCCTTCTCAGCTGGCTGCTGCTGCAGGTTGTTACCATTGGCAGAAGAACTAGCAGTAGCACTTCCATGATGATGACCATAAACACCACCTCCTGATGATCCTTGCAAATTCCCCTCATCCTTGCTGCTCCCCAGTGACAAGTCCATGAAATCTAGCTGATTTGTTGTCTGGTGATGCTGATGATTGTTGATGATGAAATTGGAAGCTGCCGCATCCTGGTGCTGGTGTAACAACCCTAACCCACATCATGAATTGTGAGATTCACTGGTCTCTGGAGATTCATCATCACCATCATGAATATCCATCCCCAACCATGGATTTTTTTGATGAGGGATATTTATTACATCATGATGATGATGGTGGTGATGAGAAGGTGCAGCTAGCAGTAATAGTAGAAGTATATAATTTGATATTGAAGATAAAGACAAAGAGGGGTAGTGGTGCTTACTGCTGCTTTCTTCTCTTGTGATGATTTCTTCTGCTGCCTCCTCTTCCTCCTCCTCCTCTCTGCTATCAGAATACCCTTTCACTTCTTGCATCAACTCCATAAAATTATACACTGACCCCACCTTCAATTCTGCTAATTATAACCTCTGGATCTCACAAAATTAAATAATGTCACCCAAATAATTGAGGAAAATATTAAATCATTGGAATGAAGGAAAGGGAAGGGAAGAAGAGAAGGAGGACTAAGTAGGGGAGGGAAAATAAATAACTAAATAATATAAATAAATAAAAATTAAAGTTTTTTTACATAATTTTAGAGTGGGAAGAAGTTGACATGATATTTAAATATTATATAAAGAAATTACCAAAGAAAATTATAGTTGGGGCTAAGAAGATATTTGACTGGGCAGATATGTGAGGCTGTGAAGAAAACAAAGAAAAGCAGGTGGTTATTTAGTACTAGATAGAAGAAAGAATTGTAAGAGTCGGTGCCTTCATATTTGACTACGAGGCATCAAACCCTAGAGAAAGAGAAGGCATGGAGGATTGAAAACGGGGTTATTGTTGACCTAAAGAGGTGAACATGTTAGAGAGATGGAGATGGAGATGGATGTGAGTTTTAGCTAACACAAAGTGTAGTTACCTCAGAGGAAGCTTCTTTACAACTAGGAAAAAAGAACCAAAAATGTTTGTTGCAACCCAGTTTTATTCTTAACATAACAAGAGAGAGATAGTGAGAGGGAAATATGGTTACTACACTTACGTGGGGGGCCCATGAATAATGTGCGTATTGGGGTCATGTGAGCAACTAGTCCTTTTCATAACATTTGGGATAATTATAATAATAATAATAATATTACATTTCAATAATCATAATAATAAAAATAAAAATCTGTACAATATGTGCTTCCGGTTCTACACTTAATAGGCCAGTTGTTCCAGAAGCAATGACCTTCACTTTGTTAAATCTGCATCCTCATTATCTCTTTCTTTAGTTTCCTGCAATTATTAAATGTGGAAAAAGGAAACAATATCTATGTCAAGTTGTTGTTACAAGACAGAAGATAAGTAGAGGGCGCTGCAATGCCAACGGTGTAGTAGAGGAGAGAGGTAGTACACACTGTTATTTTCAATGTGATCCATATCAAATGTTTATCAATTTAATGGATAATTTAATCAAAAATAATTCTCAAATATATTTTTCTAATTACAATAATTTGAACTTGAATTTAGGATTGAGTTCATTTTCATTCATATCAATTACTTGTTATCAGTGTGTTAGGTTGTTTAGAATTTTTTTTTCTTCTATGACTTTTGGTGTCATTGATTGTGTGCTGTATGCTGTGTGCTGTGTGCTGGTCCCTCCTAGCCGTAAGGAAAGGCAGATTAGCTGAGCACAGAGAATGAGAAAACAGTAGAAGACAACAGCACTTCCCCTTCCTTCATTCTCTTTCAAATGCCATTTCAATTTTCTCTCCTAAACCAAACCATGTATGATTCCACATTCAATATTATTCAACTGCATAAATTCAAGGAAAAATAAAAAAACAAATTCTAAACCAATAACTCCTTCTTCAAAACTTCCAACTCCCTAGTTCACTCCAAATTTAATGTCCCGGATCCCAAAAAAATGCCAAATATCACCTTTTACTTTCATCTTTATTGTCATTATCATCATGTATACATAATTTATTACCTTTTCCTAATTTTTGGAATTCCTTCACTGCATAAAGTTGTCCACCTTCATTCTTTAACTTCTTGAGCTGGAACTTCATTCTTGTAAGTTCACCTTAATTGTTGTAAGGGAAAGTGGGGAACCAAACCGAATCTACCTATATTATGAAATCCAGTAGTCATTATTGTTAGAAATGAGATAACTTTGTACTATACCATGTTTTTTTTCCCCTTCTAATTCAGTTGTGTGTTTCTTATATGTCATGTCTTATTCGTTTTTTATCTGATTAAAATAATAATTTCAGTTAAATAATTATATAATCATATTAATTAATTTTTTATTTTTCAACTTTTTATATAGTACACATTAATATTAGTACAATGTTACTATGAAATAAGTATTAGATTATTATATATGAGCGAAGAAATTTAAATTCAATTCTTGTTTGTTATAAGGGATCAGACTGAAAAAATATTCTTAATTTTTTTTCTCCAATTTTAGTATGAATAGCGTGCTTGGCAAAATAAGAAAGATAAATCAATTAAAATGTGTGCAAGTTTCACCCAAATAATAATAATGATGGCAATATCAAAACATGCACATGTGGTGATATTTAATTAATGAGAGGAAGCTGCAGGTACCTAGGAGATTGTACAAAACAATTAATTCTCTCATTTTGTTTACAATTATCAATTAAATCTAAATAAAACAAAATTTAATATGCAGTAATGTCACCCCAGAGTTAAAAAATTTCCTTAAGAAGATAAAAGGTGGTTAGTTCGTAGACTAGAATGTAGATAAAGTATGTAACTTGGGGGAATAACAAGAAAGTTGAAATTAAAAGAAGTTGAAGTGTGTACCAGAAAACAAGTTGAAATACACAATTAAACATAACCGATGATTTAGCTGCTCTCGTGCACGTGGTTGACCTTTCATGTGGTACCTATTCATCAATTTAATTAAATTATATTATTATGTTTTTGATATGCATATGTAATGTATGCCAAGTAATTAATTTATTTTAGGTTTAGGTTTAGGTTTAATAAACTTGCATACTTCGTAGATCATGTTTAAATATTCAACAAAAGAGTAAATCAAATTCAATTCCAAACAATTGATTCAATGATGCAAGATAGTGTTTTGTATCTAATAACCCGTACGTTGAATCTTGCATTTTTTCCCATTGGATACGTAAATATAATTCCTTTAAAAATATTCTTTAAATTAAATAATTTTTTTTATCCAAAAAAATATATTGAATTTAAAATGAATATTTTAAAAGATGTAAAGAACTCTTTAAATGATTTAGTGAAAATGTTATCACTAAATTGTGTGGGTTAGTGAGACCTACTACTGACAATTCATGCACCAGAGCCAAATAATAAATAAACGTCTTTTATGCATATGTATTTTAAAATATGTATATATATATGCTTGATAAAAAAAATTAAGCACCTAATTGTGTTGAAAATTATACATTTTATTATACATAAAATATTCCTTCTACTCATAATTAAATACATACACATGCAAATTAAATATTACATGTGCATAGATGTTTAATTTCATTTTTTTTTTGGTAGAAATTGAAATTTTGTTACCTTTTTTGAGATAAGCTGAAATTTGAGAATTGAATTTTTTAAAATTGGCAAAATGAAATTGAAGTGTCATTGTAAAAAGATTATTTATTTTTTCTTCTCTCTTCAAAGTTATTTAAATTTTTTCGGGTCCCCTTCAGTCATAAGATCCAGGCAATCGCCCTCTTACCCTCAAGGTGACCATGTTTAATTAAATCCTTTAAATTCTTTGTTAATTTGTTTAATCCTTCTCGAGTTCAACCTACTATCTTAGTTTACACCTAACTTCCTTTATATGTCCATTATTATAGGTTCACATCTCAATCTTTCTCCAACCCTTAAGATTATTTCAAACACAGACCAATTAATTTAACATAAATAAAGTAATAAGAAGAAATTAAATTAAATGAAAAAAGAATCATACAAGAGAAAAAAATCAATTCATTAATGGGTTTGTAGGGCTATGCCTAATGCAAGAGATAAAAAAAGGCTACTCATAGGTAATCATTAACATAATTATAATGACATCCTTAATTCATACATTCTTCACTTGTATATATTAGACAACCTTGTACACATTGAGACACAATTAGAAAATATAATTCTTTCAAAATTTATATGGTATTTGTAACTCTCATTTAATGCTCGATCCATAACTACCAACATGTCTTCCATCAACACCATTATGCTCAATAAAGATCAATTTATAAATGCTCTCAACACATAATCCTCCATCAACGTCAATGGTACCAATTATCCAACTTGGAAGGTCCAATTCAATGCCCTCCTTGTTGGCTATGACCCTTTTAGGTTTGTTGATGGCACCACCACATGTCCTATCATAAGGCAAATGGACTATCACTATTGGCGTCGTTAGCATCAACTACTCCTGTATATTGTCATTATCTACACAGTAGACACACATGCCATCACCATGCTTGGCAATGTAACTACCTCGAAGCAAGCATGGGATATCCTACAAAAGATGTTTGTGAGCAAAACAAGAGCATGCATCATGTATCTCAAGCACATTACACCAAGGAAATGTAGTCTGTATCAGTGTACCTTTATAGCATCAAATCCATCTCCGATGAGCTCTTTCTCATCACCACTTTCATGGATGATGATGACCTTGCCATTCATATCCTCAATGGCCTTAGAGAAAAATGTAAAGAGGTCACTGCTACACTTTGCACACCCACAAAAACCTATTGGTTTTGCTAAACTTTGTGATCTTCTCACTAACTTCGAGAGTACCTCCAACGAGATGACTATAACCAAGGACTCGTTTCAACTATCACTACACATGTTGCCCACAAAGGATCAAACATGTACAAATACATTGGTTTCAAACCCAACTACAATTCCTCCTACTCCACTACTTGCCAATATCCCTTGGTGCCACCAAGAAGGTCATATGTTCGTTCAATGAGAAACCTAGGCACACTAACAAGGTTTGCTACAAAATCCATGGTTATCTTTATCCGCCTTGATGTCATACAAGTCCATCTTCTCATCATGCCTAGGGGTGTAAGTGGGTTATCTAAACTCGAATCGACTCAAACAGACCCAATAAGTTTTGATCAAATTTTTTTAGTGTTCGGATTAAACCCAATCTAACTCGATCAAAACCCAACCTTATTCGGGTCAGGTCATGGGATTTTTTATTTTTCACCTGTGGTCCAACCTGACCCGGCCATGTATAACAATACAACATATTTATCTTAAATTTTATTTTGTATTAATGTTGTTCAAGTTGATAACAATATAGCAAATTAACAAATTTATTTTAAAATTTAGTTTGTATCATTATTTGTTTTATCAGTTAATAACATTTCATTTGGAACAGGATACAAATAATTTACATCTATTATAAAATATTTAAAACTTTATAATAAATAAATAAATTTATCTTATGTTAACCTGGTTAACCCAATCCAATCAAGCTTATTCATGATTGGGTTGAATTGGATTTTATAAAATAAAAAAAAAAACACAAATCCAACCTGTTGAATTTTAATCAAGTTGGATATTGGATTTATCCAAATCTGACCCAAGTCAACTCGCTTACACCCCTAATCATATCCACAATACCACCCCCTCACAAGACACCACCGAATGGATTTTTGACTCTGGAGCCACACACCACATCACTCATGACCTTAATTGCTTGCACCTCACTCAATCGTACCAAGGCATTGATCAACTCATTATAGGTGATAACACTACCCTCCCCATCAACCACACCAGTAAAACTTTGATTTACAAACCATCTCACAAACTTTCACTTCCTAAAGTATTGCATGTTTCCACTATCTATAAAAATGTTTTATTTATTTCTTCCTTATGCCAAACTAACCTTATCTCTGTCGAGTTCT